AGGAGGGCTGTGTCCAGGGCTGCCGTGTCCGGGCCCCAGCAGCTGGCAGCACTTTATATGTATTTAATTGAGAAAAGTCAGTTTATTCCCTCAATCTGCCCGGTGTGCGTGGATGTCCTGTGTCCCGTTGTGGCTCAGTGCTGCTTGGCGTGAGCTTGGCGGCAGTGCTGCAGCCCCTCGGGGGAGGCTGCCGGGGGTGATGTGGTGGCTTCTAACTCAGGGCTGCTGCATGTGCTGGTCTTTGAGCTTTGCTTCTGGCTTCCCTTTCACTGCTTTTGTCTGCCTGGCGCATGTCCCTAGTGACTTTCTGCAAATGCAGACCAACAGGACAAAAAATAAATTAGCCGTTCGAGCACGGCAGGCTTTAGCTGCCCAGAGTACTTGCTCCTTGCCTGAAGTGCTCCCATGGCAAAGCAATTTAACATGAGTAAGTAGGCAGCCGCTTCCATAGAAGTAAACATTTTGATATTTAAAACTGCAAGTTCAGCATGAAGCTGCCTGCAGAAAAGGTTACGGATCGAGGAAGATCGTTCTCAAGCTGTTTGTGCCCAAAATCGCTTTTTCACACCGCAGCTCGGTTGCTCACAAAGAAGGTCGTCTCTCTGACCTGGTTGTGTGCGCTGCAGTTAATTTGTTCAGGGCTCCGGTTCAGCAGAGCACTGAAGTCAGGAAGGATTGCTCTGCTGCGAGAGGACTTTACTCTCAGCTGAGGCTTTTATGGCTTTGGCCCTGAATCAGTAATCTTCACAGCACGCCGCAGAAGATGTGAAATTATGCAGAAACTGGCGATTTGGACGTGGTTCAGGAGGAGCAGACGGTCGGGACTTTAAATTTTAAGAATGGATGTGTGCAAGATCGGAAGGTTGGTCTCCTACCTTCTCCAGTTAAATACTTCACGTAGTATCTCGGAGCAGTGTAGGTTTCTCTTGCCTTCTTCAAATACCTGTTTGTTCGTTTGGCTCGTCGTTAGCTGAATTCTTGGCACGTGCTTCTGTCCGTGAGCTGTTGGTTGTTGCTTTTTGTTTGTTTTACTGTCAAAACCAAAACAAAGCGTGCCTTCTTAGTATTAAATTACTGAATCGTGAGTGCCTCTCACTTGGGCAAGGTATGTAATTAAGGTGCTGCTGCCTTCTCTTGGGTAAATGTACGAATTCTTGGTGAAAGTTCTCTTTCAGAAATATCATAATATTGAAACACTTTTCCCCATTAACAGTGAATTCCGTTTATACTTTTATTTTATACTGGCTCATGGTAAGGTTCAATTCCCAGTTACTGTAGGGAATCACATCTCATTCATGGCTTTCTCAGTTCCTGGGTGTGCTCGTACTTCCAAGGAATAGCGTGTGGGTCCGAGTGTCCGGAATGCCCTATTCTCTAGTGGCGAAGTTACTGAAGTATAAACAGTTTAATTTGGCAACGTAAGCTCCTCCCTGGAACTGAAACGTGGTCCTTGTTTTTAACAGAAATACCCTAGGCTTTGGCCTGAGTTAAATTTGGGAGAAAAAGGTTAAAAAGCTAAAGGGGCTGAATGTGTGCAGCCGTTGTGCGGTGACACATACCGCTAGCTGTGTGCTGGTTATGCTAATTTGTATTTGATTTGATGCTGAACGCAGTCAGTGGAAATGGTAATAATTTCCTGTTAAATTCATAAAACTGAGAGTGCGATTTTTGTCGTAAATTATCAGATAATCCTCCTGTTGGATTATTTAGTGGTAATGCATCTGTTTACCTGGGTGTTGGATGCTGCAGTAACGAGCAATGAAGTCAAGTCAGGCTCTGAAGATTGCGTGAATGGAAGTTTGTCAAACTGTGCATGAAAATCACATTGAAGCCCTGCTTTCTGCTTGGTCTTGTCTTTTTTCCCCCTCTCATTTTTCTGATGTTGACAGCGTCAGGACAGGCGGGGGAGGTTTTCAGCGCACCTTAAAGGCAGGGAGATTGACTGCCTTGGTGCAGTGACTTGGCAAGTGCATCCATGGCAGCAATTTCTGATGTTGTAAGGAAATGCTGTGCTAAGGAGCAGGGTAAGTCCGTGGTAATGTTTTTCTGGGAGAGCCCTCTGCTAATTAATTGTGTGATTTGCAGGCACCCTTTCATTTGCGATCCACCATCCCTCATCCCATCACGTTTCCGTAGCTTACGTGCCACCATTGCATAATTGTTGACAGCTTTGATTAATATTGGGGAAGTATTTAATGTACTTTCGGCTTGATTGAGTAATTTAATATCCAAGAACACGGTGTGTAACAGATTCCTGCTGCAAGCAGGTGGCGAGTGGAGCCGTCAGGCGGCCGGGGGCTGCCCTGGCTGTGGTGCTGCAGGATTTTGGAGTGATGAGTAATGGTTAGGAGACATTTACAAAAAAAATAAAAAATAAAAGAAACTAAAAAACCTCAGCTTTTCATGGCCTAGTTGGTAGTATTTAAAAGAAACTGGCATGAAGAACACTTCCAAGCTCAAAATTAAACAGGTTTGTTTATAGTAGCCGTGATTCAGCGCTGAGCTGCCAGGGTAAAAATAACCACGGTGGCTGCAGCACCGGGAACCTGCCCCACTCCGGCACGGTGGCAGCGGCGATCCTGGGGCCATCGGTGTGCTTCTGTCCCCAGCCCGACCCCTAAATAACACGCTGACAGCACGCGTCCCCCTGAGGACGTCAGACGCCTTGGTTTCCGTGTATGCAGGACAGAGGTGAGGACGCTGAGCGAGCCGGGTTGGCGGAGGAGGTCAATGTCCTTGAGTCCCCGTCTTGGCCACCCCACCAGGAATCTCTCCTCGGAACGGAGCAAAACACCGAAGGGCCAGGGGTGCACGTTGCTGAGCTGCACGTGGAGAGGCCATTTCGTTGTGTCTCTAGGAACTGATGCCTCTGCCTGTGGTTTTGTCTGTGCTTGCTCAGTGCCTCGTTTTTCTCTGTTCCTTCTCTCCCTCCCTCCCCCCCCTTTTATTTTAACCTAGGGCTGTGTGTTGCTGATCTCAAGTGCAAATGCAGTCGGCGTTCTTGGTTTGTCATCTGTCTTCAGTCCCGTAGCTGAGCCTGTGTCAACACTTTGAATGAAATTCCCTATTTTCAGGTGTCTGCAAATTGGATCCGAGTGGGTGCTTGCAGCAAGAGCTGCCTGAGCAAACTGCTTGGCTGCAGACTTGCTTCCTATTGTGTTTGGAAAAGTATTGAAGAAGGATTTTGAAAACTTTGTTTTCTGTTTCTAAAGCATTTTGATTTCTATGGTTTCTAGGTGGCACTTGAGCATGGCTCTGCAGTTTTGGGTGCAGAGCTGCTAAAATATTTTGAAAAAACACAAATTACTAGGCTGTTGTTTAAGCTTCCTATGATTTTTAGCACTGAAGGGGGGAAAAAGCGGTTCTTTTCTCCCTTGGGAGCTTTCAGAAATGCTCTTAGGGAGAGCCAGCAGCCACGTGAGGCCAGGCCACCACCTCCAGGATTTAAGGACCGGGGGGACACATCTTGGTGGCCTGGCTCGCCATGCTCCTGGCTCACCGATGCTCCTCAGGCAGCGTCCCGGGGTGCCACCAGCGCTGACCCCACTGCATCCCACCACGGGCTGGGGCTGTGCAGGTGCTGGGGAGGAGATGGAGGTGCAGGATCCGTTTTGGGGGCCCCCGATAGCATTGGTGCCTGGTGCCTGGCTTCCTGTGCCTGCTCTGTAAAAGAGCCGTGCTTTGTAGGGGATGCAGCACTCGTTGGATTTCACCCTGGCAGTGCGGTTAAGCGGCAGTTGCTCCCCTTCAAGGTTGCTCTGGGTAGCTGAGCTGCTAGAGGCTGCTTTTCCTGCGGTCTCGGTACAGGAAATTTTCATCTCCTAAAACGCATTGCAAAGTTGGTCCAGCCTCAGGCAGGTTTCGGCTGACTTGAGCTTGTCTTGTAAGTGAAGTTGTGCAGGTTTTGTGCAGTCTTGGGAAGAAAAAGCCCATCAGAAAGCTGGGGATGAAACTGGAGCAGCGCACATCTCTCCTGCAGAACGAAGGTGTCTTTTTGTTTGGGATAAAACAAAGTGCAGGAGAGGAATCCTGAGCTGCTGCTGGCTTTTAATGGGAATCGGTCGTTGAACTGTTCTTTGAAATTCCCATCCCTCGGGCAGTTGAGCAATGAATGGGCAGAAGCAGAGGGAGGATGACAGGGACTATTCGGGGGTGAGATTATTTGGGGGTGAGATCCGTGGTATTGAGGTAGAAGGCAGTGCCAGGGAAACAGTAAAAAGTGTGAGATTGGAAACAGGAGTGAGTGTCCTGTAATTGTAGTTGTCAAATTACAGGTTCAGGGATTGCGGACAGAAGTGGCAACAGCACAAAGCCAATAAAAATTGATGTAAGGCAAGCTGACAAGCTTTATAGATACTGATTTTAAAAAACAGTGCGTAGAAGAGAAGTGCTTTTCCCTTTGGCAACGTTTTCCTACTGCGTCTTCAGACTGTATTTCACTGCTGTCAGATCTGGTAGCCAAAAATCAGGAGCTTGAAATTTTCATTTAAAAAAAACACAAAAAGAAGCCATGATATTAACCCATGTTCCTGAATGAAATCTGAGGCTAAATAAAGAGGTGGCAGTGCGTGGAGCAGCTGAGCTGCTGGCGTCTGTATTGAGCACGAGTGGCAGCTTTGCTTGATCTTTGCTTTCTAACTGAATAGATTCAATTCTGTTTCCTTCCCACAGTTTACCTTAGCTGCAAGTCCAGTTTGTAAAGCATTTTTTAATGATGTTATCAAGCAGAAATTCTGTTTTGCCATTGGTTTTCTCCTGACCCCCCAACGTTTCACTTACCAGAAGCAGGGTTAAATTGCGCTGGAGGCTTTGTTTTTAAGAGAATTTGATTCTGGTGTTCAGAAACTGTGTAGAGCTCCCTTGATTAAAGCAAAGAGCAAATTTTATAACAGGCATATTTTACTTTCAAACTGTGAAGAGTAGATTTGATGCTTACATACACTATCATCTGAAAAATATGTTCTGAGGAATTAATTTTTCTTTTTCTTTTTTTTTTTCAGTCCCTTGCAGGGAGCCTGGAAAAAACTTCAGTAGTGCTGTTAACACTGATGAGAGATCTTTTATGCCAAGGTACGAGTATTTACTGTTCTCATTTGAGAATTGATAAATGTAAAGGCAGCATTTGAAGTTAAGTTAAAAGCTGTCTGAACCTTGTTTCTTGTAGTGGAAAAACGCAACTCTGAAGTAGTGTGCTCTGCCTTTCCTGGTGTTATTTGCTGTTGTACAAAATACAAACATATAATAATAGTTCACAGGTTTTCTTTCCAAGGCTGAGCGAAGAATGTGTCTACTTTAGTTTCTTTGTTGTTGTTGTTCATTTAAGTCTTTTGTTATCGTCTTACTGGAGCTTGTATCATCAGTTATGCCCAACGTTTCATGAAGTTATGCAAAACCATCAAGCCACGTGCCTTTACCACTGTCTTCCTCCCTCTGAGCAGTGTATCTACCTCACACCAATGGCCCTATCAGTGTTCAGAGAAGGAAGGAGCAAGCAGCAATGCAGGCTGCCTTCTTTGGGTGTGTGAAATTGAACTCAGGCATCCGCATCGCACAAGGTGCACATCACGTTTCGGGTTAGCGCAAGGTTCTTGCACCCAGCCTTTTCCAGAGTTGCATTTGTGTTTATTCTTTGCTTGCATTTCTCTACCCAGCTACCCAATTTTATTTTTCAAGGTCCCTTCCAATCACTAGCATTCTGTGAAATTACAAGCTTTTTGATGAGCTGGTGAGGATTTTGTATGAGGAACAGCTAATTTGTCATTTGTGTTGTGAACGAGACTGACCCTGGCCCATGTTCCCACACAGTTCCCTTGCAGTGGGATTGCTTCATCAGTGCCCAAAGCATCTGACCAGCTGCAGATAAATGGCACTAGAGAGGTTCTTCTCTTGGATATGTAGACATTTAGAGGTGTATATGGCTTGTTCTTCTCGTGGTGGACACCATGTGAAGGTTACCCAGGCCAGGTATTTTGGGCAAGCTGCTGTAGATCTTTGCTCTTCCTTTGGGAGGGGTCTGATGCTGACAGCCTGGGCGCTCTCGTGGCAGCACGAAGAGGTGCTCCTCTTAAACAAGGAAGAGATTAATCGTGAGGTGTCAGGTGCTTTGCAGTGTGGAAGCAAAGTTTGGTCATTATTGTAGCTGCAATCTGGACCCTGCTGATTTATTACTGCTGTATTTTAAAGTGGCTGTGCAGGTGCTTGGTAGCCTGGTCTGACACTGAGGGTGGAGCCAGCCTGCTGCTCAGAGCAGTGCCAGGGCATTTAACGTGAAATTTGTTCTTTGCCCCGTGCCTGTCCTGCTGTACCTCACTGGCTGTGTGTGAGGGAGGAAGGGGAGCACGAGCAAGATGACACACTTAGTTTTTGCTTTCTTTTTGCACCTTGCCCTTCAGAGCTAATGAGACCAGTTTCGCAACATGTGAAACAACAAAAAGTTTTTTTTTACACTTCTTAGTGATCATAGGCTTTTCTCGAATCAAAAGAAACGCTAAACAGCCGTAATTTCATGCCATTTTGAAATGCTGCTGTTGCTTCACAGCATGCTCCTCTACTGCACAGAGCTCGGGGTGGAAATGAATGCTACTGTGTCTTGCTGTATTTAGGTGGGCATAAACAGTTTGCCAAACGAAAAGTTGGCTAGGATGCGGCATAGTAATTTCTGGAGCACTCCATTCATGTTGTATAAACAGATAACATTAACATACTTGTGAAAGAGCTACAAGATAATTAAGGCGTGTGGAGTTTACAGTAATAAGGCTCATGCGTTTCAGGATCTTGGTTTCCTGTTGCACCTGAAAAAAAAATCAGCAAATATTGCAGAGAAGAAATGAGAAGTTAGTCTTGTGCTACTCCCAGCTGAAAGTTTCCCACAAGTATTTTTACTATAAATAAGAAGTGAAAGAGTTCACAGCTAAATTTAACCCTTAGATTGATTTACTTTCAGGGGCTTTCATGGGTGGAGCAGACTGGAACCGTAGAAGATGCAGATAGACTAGATCAATAGATTGCATTTACACTTTATAAAAAAAGTCATTCCCTTTTAATTTCTAAGGATTATCAAAGGAAAAAGCATTGCTAATTGGAATTCCCCTCTCTTTCCCAACCAAAATCATGATCTTAGAAAAAAAAAAGGAAGTGAATGTTACTTCTCAGGGAAACTTTCAAGCAGAAGAACTTGCAGCTGACAGTATCTTAACCAAGAACGTTGTCAGTGTACTGCAGTGCATAGACACGGCTTGCTCTGTTTTTAGACATTTGAATTTAGCATTCTGGAAAATCCCTTTTGGTTCAACTTGGTTTCACAATTTCTATGAAGTTAAGCAACCAAAGCTCATAGCGGCCTTCAGGGTTGAAGAAAAACAGCCCCAAGGTGCCTGAAAGTATGAGCTGCTGCTGCTGACTTCTGCTTTATTCTCCCTCTAACGTCTGGGCGAGGGAAGAGCAGCTCGGCCACGTGAGAGCCGCAGCACAGGCAGGCGAGCCCCCGATTCCTGTCCTTCGGATGTAAAAGTGAGCTTAAAGCTGCGTTAAACTGGCCGCAGGGTTTGGGTGCCTCTTCCTCTGCGACTGCACGTGGGCTTTATTTATTAATTTTTTAACCCGTGTGTGTCCCATGTAGACCACAGGACGCAGTGTGGTTGAGGGGTGAGGGCTGGAAGCAGGGTGCTGGGGACAGGCCGTGTGCAGGCCTGTGCCTGGGGAGTGTGTGGCAGGTGGCCCTTGGGAGTTCAAATGACAGGAAAAAAAAGATAAAATTCCCAATTTAATGGTTATATAAACCACGACACAGGTTGTCAGGTAGCTGTCTGCCGTGGCAAAGAGGCAGCAGCAGGGCTAAAGGTGCGATCCCCGTTCTTCGTGGATGGTTGTTAATGGCAGCAAGCAAGGTGATTCAGCTCTGCAGGGAACTACCAGGAACACATCTTTATTTCTAACCCAGTCCTCAGATGTAGCCAGCGAGCCCATAAATCCCGTGCAACGTTAGTTTGAAATGCCTTTGAGAAATGAAACTTCCCCAGCCTCATAGCGTTCGTGTTTCTGAATCCTTACTTGGGAAGAAAGCGCTATCTCGCCGGGAAGGAGCAGGGGATGGTTCGCGGCTGAGGTCATTGTTTGCCTCAGCGCCCTTGATAGGGACAGCCCAGCCTGGCCTGTAATGTAAACAGAGTGTAAAATGTTTATCGCCAGCTTTGTCACTTGCCTTATTTGTCAGGGAATCGCGATGAGAATGAGAGGTTTTGTGGTGCTGCGCAGCGCGTTCGGGGAGCTGGAAGATTTCCTTAAAAAGGCACAGGCCTTGCTGGGCGAGCAGCGAGGCTCTGCCTTGGCAGCCGCGAGCTGGGGCTGACCTTTCCAGAGAGAAAATACTGACCTAAATCCTGCCCTGCTGCGGGAGAAATAAACCTCCCTGCTTGCATCTTACTAACCTGATTTTCTTGTCTCGCACTCGCGGCTTTATGCTGTAAAACGTTGGGAATGCAGGGGCAAGGTGGCACTTGCGGGGTGTGTGGCGGGGAGGGGGCTGTGTGCCCAGGCACTGCTTGTGATCGTGTTTATCCTCATCATTTCCAAACAGCAGAAGGTTGGCAGGTCCGGGTCTGGGCATCCCGAAACCTGGGAGGCAGCGAGTTCCAGGGCAAAGTTTGAAATCATTAAAATGCTTTATGGCAAGGTCAAAGGAAGCATTGCGTTGGCTGGTTCACTGGGTTGCGTGCAGTTTGCACATTTGAATATTTGAATATATTGGAGGGGGAATCTATAGTTTGGTCATTGTTCTGTTTGGTATAAACTGGAGCTGGTGGCAATTCACGCAGAAAGCAACAGTCTTAGCTGTTCCTATAGAGATTTTTGTTCACAGCAGCATCTGGAGAACAGGAGCACAAGGCCACTTTCAGAAGACTGTGTCGTGAAGGTGTGTGTACAGGTACACTTGTAACCATTTGTTTTTTTGTTTTTTTTTCCTGCCTTCTAGATCGTCGGTATCTGAACAGACCACACCATGCGTGAGTACAAGCTAGTGGTCCTTGGTTCAGGAGGTGTGGGGAAGTCCGCCTTGGTGAGTCGCTGAGGAAGTGGTCCTGAAACCACTGTGTGAGCTTCCAGACTGGCCTGTCTCACTGCAGGCATTGCTCATAGAACGAACTGGGATGTTTGTATTGCTCTTAATATGGGCATTATTAAATTATTATTATTAAATTATGGGCATATTAATCCTTTTAATATGGGCAGTGACTTCCAGGTAGCCGTTGTTAGGCTGCCAAAGGGTCTGTGAGTTTGTGTCAGTTTTTGGAGACGAAACGGGTGATTCATCCCTGTTAGAACAGTTAGCATTTCATGTTTGCTTTCTGCGGATGTGTAATACTGTCAATAACTGAATGTCCCCAAGTATGAAAAGTCTAGCCTAGGCTAGAAGAATGAATCAAGACTTGCCCTGCGTGGTGGCGAAGGCTGCAGCTGAGGAGTACACCTGGAAAGTGGTTTGTTTTCCGTCAGGGACAGAGCCTGAAGGAGCTGTCTGGCCTGAAACCCCAGGGCAGAATAGCAAGCTGCCTCCAGGCAGAGCAGAGGGACAAGCAGACTGATGACACTTTGCACTCCTTAAGTGCTTGTGTTGTTTCTACTAAGAGGTTTACATAGCAGAGTTGATAGTAAAGCATTGTAAGAGAGGTTTCTGTCACCCATTTATCACAAATCAGTCAAGCAGCTCGCCCCAACAAGAAAGCCAAAGAACTGGTCAAGTGTAAAGTTATGTAAGACAAGGAAACACACCGTGTTCCTTTCCACAGAGGGTGATAGCTGACCAGCCGTTCATTTCGTAGATGGGTGCTTCTTTCACTGTTTTTTATTCTGCTGATAGGGGCTGCTAATAGTCTTGTCAAATCACCTGCAGAATCTAGTAGAATGAGAGGAAAGATTGTTCAATTACATATCACGTTTGAGGTACTCTTTCAGGATCCCTTCCTAATATTTACAAGATGTAGGAGTACAAATTTTTGATGCGCTGTTCTTCCACAGCAACTTAAGTGATCCGCATTGCTTTTTCCGTGAGCATTCTCCTTGATTATTTTGGCTTTATTATGTAATATTGAAGGATTCGCTAGGTAAAATTGGGCGCTTCTGAATACACCGTGCGTAAAAACTATTCAGCATGTGAAGTACTTTGAATTTCCTCATCTCTGATGTAAAGTTCTGCGTCCCCATTCATCACAGGCCTTTTTAAAAGTCGAAATGTGAATACTTAATTTTTCTAAATTCTTACTATAGTATTTTTTTTTTCCCAAAATTTATTCTCAAAAAGTTCTGGAGATTGTATTTTCCTTTATTGTATATGATGAGTTTGTGTACTCCCACCTGTAGGGATACAAATTGGGTTAAATCACTAAGGACCCTAACTTTTGTATGTACGTACTGCTGGTGGATTGATTGTGAAGTCTGGTAAACCAAAATTAAGGTCTAGGTACTAAGTAAGCACGCATTGTAATTCATATGCAGTGTTGGTCCATTATGGTTATGGCAGGACACAGTAAGTGCCAATTAGTAGCTGAGGGAGAATCATATTTATCTTACCAGATGACCAACTTACTGACAGGTATTGGCAGGGTGGGACTTAAAATAATACAGAGGTCACTTTAAAATTTCTTTCTTCAAACTGCGTAAGCTAAGTACCCAACAAAGAGCACGGTGTTTGTTTTCAATCCAGTGTTTTCACTGGGAGTGCAGATTACAAAATGCTCTTGTTTCGCTACGAATCCTCCTGTTTTAACTCCTGTGGGTTAAGTTAGTTTTATTTCTGAGCAGTACTGCATTTGTGGATATGAAATAAGACTGAGTTTTAGCAGAACGACAAAATGTCGTGAGCGGTTTGTCACATTCTTTTGCTGGAGGCTGCTTCACAAACAGGAAAAAAGTTCACAGGGTGCAGCTGTACAGCTCTGACCAGCTTCAGTGTCCAAATGTTAACCTCCTAGCAAACAGCAGTCTTCTTTGGACTCTGTTCTGTTAGTAACTGTGCTGAAAATCCTACAATACAGTCTGTAATCTGAAATTCTTAGTTGCCATTATTGGTATAACATTGAAAACCCCCTAATAATGGTTCAGGCTTATTAACACAGGATTATTTAGTGAAATAGAATGGTTTTTCAGTGAGGTAGTACTAGATTTTATTTATTTTTTTATGTTAAAAGAAGGAGCGTAATAAGGAAATGCTCAGAAACGCTCAGTTTTCAGCACATAGAGAATCTTTCTGCATGTATCTGGTATGTGCCACTCTTTGAAAGTCCTTGTGTGGCAAAAGTGAACCCCGTTGCAGAAAAATCTCAGCCTTTTGTCCAAACAAAACACATCTTCTTGAGACAGGAAGCGACCTGGCAGAATTTGTACTAGAGATTCGTGGAAAGCTCTGTTGGCAAAAGATAGTTGCTGTGTTTGTTGATATTTAAAGAGATAAAATTAAGTGCTGTGATCTTGGCACTTGGCTTTACCAACATCAGCCAAACCTCTGGACCCACCCGTGCTGCACCTGAGGTGAGAGCACGGCGCTGCGCCTGGCCAGAGATGGAGAGAGCCTGGGGCTCTGCAGCCATGGGTCACTGAGCTGGGGAGTGCTCGGAGCAGCAGTCAGAATAAATTGCAAAGAACTAACACTATCACTAGTGTTACAAAGATAAACTATTCCAATTTACCAAACTGGTACCGGTACAGATCTGTCAGGTTGCACCTGGGAGTTGCTGATTCCCAGCGCTGCGCCGGAGGAGGACAGACGACTGTTTAGATGCAGGGAACACATGCAGGGTTGCCAATAAGAGGAGACATCGAAGAGAAAAATGCTCTTCCTATTTATGAAGAGAAGGTACTGAAAGGAAAAACAAACTGTGTCTTCCAGAGGACAAGTGAAACCACAGACCAGCAGGAGCCAAAGTATGCCACGTACGGAGCTTGAGTGTCCAGAGATGGGGCGCATCCAAATGACAGCTTGATGGGAAATGTTTAGAGTAGATTCACTTGGAATAATTATATAGGAGAAGAAAGATTTCCTCTTTGAAATGAATGATGTCTCCTTCTTTAATGATTTAATACAAACTGAGTATCTGGAGACTCTCCAGATTCAGCTTGCTACTCTGAAATATGCCTGTGCTCTGCGTGTAATCCAGAGTAGTTCCACTGTAACTCTAACACAATTGAAATCTGCATTTTCCACAGCACACACTTTGCCAGTTCCTCTGATCAAATTTCACATCTTCCATATTTGGTGCTTTTTTTATTCTTCTGAAGTCACAGACACTAAAATAAAGGCATTTTAGAGAATGCCTTTATTTTTGAGATGCCTTCATCATTTATGAAGAAATGAGCAAACAGTTTGTCTTGCATAGTTTTAAAATGTGCTTGAGTAGTGGCTCATAAAACAACAGAAACTATGCAGATTTCTTTTTAAATAATTGAAAATGTGTGTATTTTTCCCTTCTCCCCACTTGAAGTTTATCAGCAGTGCTGAGTGTTTTTTCTGCTATTACTTGTTCAGAAAGTGTTTCTTGGTTAAGTGTTACTGTCACAGTTACTTCACTTTTTTTTTCCCTCTCTCCCCAGACTGTACAGTTCGTTCAGGGAATTTTTGTTGAAAAATATGACCCAACAATAGAAGATTCATACAGAAAGGTAAAATAACATCACTTCTATTATTTTCAAGTCTCACGGAGCTTGCTTGTTTTTAATAACGCAACGAAAGCTTATCAAAATGAGCAAGGTTTTTTTATGAGAATGTTATGGATGCATAAAAGCATAGCAAGAAATGATGCATAAAAAAGCATCAGTCTAGGAAGTGCATTCATGTAGATGTTTGACTGTTCATATTTCTATTTAATAGAAGAATTAAAGCTCTGTTACTTTGTATAACTAGGAGCTTTCGCTTTAAATCTCTGATGACTTCAGTTGAGGCTTTAGCTTTCTGCTCTTGGACTGTTTCTTTGTAAGAGGTTAGAGCACCTGTGTGTTTTCCCAAGCCATCGCTGACTTTTTAGCTCCTGTATGGGGGTACGAGCTGTGGCTCTTGGCAGCCTGGCATACTGCTCATCCCGGTGCCAGTGCTGTTGATCGGTGCCTGGGCAATGTATTAAAGGACCAAAGACTGTTACTCATATCTCTTTGCTGTAACTTGATGAATGATTATTATTTCAAAGCATAAATATATCAATATTTGTTGCTAACATGCGATCTGAAAAAGTTAGCATGGATTATATATATCTACACACACCATTTATCACAGTAGGTTGTGTTACTGTAGCACAGCAATTGCATTTTGTTGCTTTCTCCTAGGAATGATTGTTTTACTATTTAGTTTAAATACGTTTGAAGGCGCATAAAAAATTCTTCACAGCTGTTTTGGATGCAGGCTTGTAATTGCTGAGCAGAAATACTTGTCAGGATCCCTGACTCTGGTGTTACACAGCTCTATCAACAGAGCTGCTTTCTTCTGGGGATTGATGTCAAGTAACCCATTGTTTTGCAGACTAGCATAATTGTTACCATAATTAAAGACACCAAACAGAAAACAAAAACTTGTAGCATTTGTGCCTGTGATAATTCAATGTAAATTCTGTTACGAGTTCTGCTGTTAAATTTATTCATTTTTCCTGGAATTGCCCTTAGTGGATCTGAGACGGTTCTTAGCTTCCAAAAGACTTGTTAAGCCTTAGTGTGACGTTTATTAAATATTGTGCTTTTCCTTTTCTTCCTCACTCCTCAAAAAAAAAACCAAACAACTTAAGTTTAAGGTCCTTTTGATTTGTAGGAGTGGATTTTATCTGACTTGAGAGGCTCATTGTAAATATCTCAACTTATTTAGGCCTTTATAATCAACACAGTCCTGGATCACTAGTGAGCTGCCCCAAATGCCAGCTTAAGGTGTAATTAATCTTCTAATAGCAGAGCCTCTCTTAGTGCTGGGAAAGTGCAGGTGGCTGGCTCACTTACAGAGGTCTTTGCTTCAGAAGTAAAGAAATTAAGGTGAGATTTCCCTCGCCTTAATTTCAGAGGTTTTAGTTTTAATTGTATTTCTCTCTTCCCTTTTTTATGCAGCAAGTGGAAGTAGACTGTCAACAGTGTATGCTTGAAATCCTCGATACAGCAGGGACAGTAAGTATGATTTCTTTTCCTAATCCGTACAGAGTTTCTTTATCAAGAACAAAACAAGATGATAAGCATAGAACTTAATATAATAATCCTGCCCGAGGAAGAAGCAATAGATCAGGCACAACAATTAAAATAGAACAGTTCTGTGTAATAACCCAAAAGCAGATTGCCATATCAACATTCTGATACAGGGTAGGTTTGCGTGTTAACTTTGCAAGTGGCCAGAAAACATAGCCCAAAAAGTTCTTAAACAGCAGGCTCTGAAGGGCACTGCCCTCCCTCATGGCCATGTTCGTGACAGTGCCACACTGTGCGTGAGACGTGGGCCTGTCTGCAGCTAGAGAACTTGAAGTGATAGCCCAGATCTGTCATCTGGGGAACTGGCCTGATAGCAGGCTCCTGCTCAACGCTCTATCAGGAAATAAATGGAAGATCAGTAAAGAACATGTCGACCAAATGCTAATGGCTTGTGTTACGCTTTGGGGCATACCCCGGTATACCTGTGGATCTGTTTTTATTGGGTTTGTTGCACCTTTTCCTGGTTTTGGAAGGAGCCTTGCTCTTCTTAATAGAGGAAGGGAAAAAGCAAAGGAAAAGAGATGTGTTAATGCTTTTATTAGATTTTCATGCTGCAGTGGATCTCTGTGAGGGATAAATACGTAAATCTGACCCATGCTGTACTACGTTCTTGTCTCCATTATAATAGAAGTATTCCTTTGTAATTGTTCTTCAGTGTCATTCACTACCTAACTACTTTTTGAAATATTTGATTACAGGAGCAATTTACAGCAATGAGGGATCTCTATATGAAGAATGGTCAAGGGTTTGCACTAGTATATTCAATAACAGCACAGTCCACGTTTAACGACTTACAGGACCTGCGGGAACAGATTTTACGGGTTAAGGACACTGAAGATGTAAGTCAAATATATTTTTTTTTAATTTTGAAAATGATTAAAATGATTTTTGGAACTAAGCATACAGGAATTTGTATGTGAGTAGAATTTCTGTCTAGGAATATTCTTTGCTGTATAGCAAAGTTTTGTGTTGAAATGAATTTCCTTAGCATTGTTTGTTATTTTCAGTGTTATGTTTCACGTTTGCTGGAAAGCTGACAGTCTTGATGGGAAGTGATATAAAAACGGTGGGAGTTTATTGAAGAAAACCTTTTTTTTTCCCCTTTCATTTTATTTATTTTCCAGTATTTGCGTTTTCCTCATACTGTGCTTCAGCAGTACTTTATTTTCCTCAAAATTATGGAAAAATTATATCTGAACTAGCCAGTAATGATATTCTTAATAGATCTCCAGCTGTCTTGCCATGGAGACTGATGTTGTTTTTCCCAAATTTGAGAGGCGGAAATTGAAGTACAGAGAGACGTGGCGAGTCCTGAGGGTCAGCTGCCAAGCCTCAAGTCCCAGCCCGCAGCAGGGCTGAGCTGTGCCCCCCGTGTCCCCCGTGCCTACCAGAGCAGTCTGAGTTGATGATGTTGAACTGTAAATAGAAAGGACGTGTTCAGCTCACTGACCGGACTCCTGCTCTGTAATTTAAGGGTCACTAATATTAATAGCCTTTTTTATTTTTATTTTTCAATGTTCCTTTGACTTTGCTCTTGTGTCATGGTGTGAGCAGGCAGCGTGGGACAGGGCAGCAGGAGCTGGGGCTGCCCCAGCGAGCAGGGCAGTGCCCCTGCAGGGCTCCGTCCTTGGTCGAGGGGCACAGAGCAGGTTGCCTTGCTGTATCTGTGCCCATTTGGTTTGCCCCGTCTCTTGGTCTTCCCTGTTTCATTCAAACCCATGCTCCGTGAGGACCAGCGGTGCATTCAGGGTTTGAATGCTGATGTGATGGCTCTCGGTGGGCACAGATCACTTGCGTGGCTGAGAACCTTTTGAACCGTTAAGCTAAGTTTAAAAAAAAAAAAAAAAAAAAAAAAAAAAGTTCATAGTTAAACCATGAAGCTATGTCCAGCAAAGTTTAACTTCCAGCCTCCTACATGACATAGGAAATGGTCAATCAAGTTCTTCCAACTCCATTTTCTGCTCTGGGTTAAGAAATCACAGCCTTTTGGAATAACCAAGCAGAGTTACACATCTTTCAAACCTATGCTGTTCAACCTATGCTGAGTATCGCTTTTTTCCTACTATTTTACATCCTAATTTTCCCATTTTTCCCCTCGTGTTCACCATGTTTCATTATGTTCACAACACATTTTAATGTTTCAGAGTTCTCTTAAATATCTAGAGAACTGTAAAGAATGGACTAGACTAGTGTAGTTGTAAATATCCTGTTACTCTCTGGGAAATAAACTTGTTTGGGGGTTGCCTCATCTGTTCTGCGACTTCAGCTTTTTGATGTAACAAGTAAAACTTGCTTCTCAAAAATAAAAGTCATTTTTTTAATCAGTATGCCTGTGAGTTTTAAATGCAAAACTTAATTTTGTCTAGGTGAATCTGGAAGAGACTACAAATATTAACGTTGGAGTAGATTAGAAAATGTGCAGTGCATTGTAAATCATCAAAGGAAGTGGATCGTGATTTATTTTCCAGCTGGAAAGTACTCATTTTCTGCTCAAAGAATTAAATGCTTCAGGAAATAGAACAGGGTACACACCCATTATCAGCAGTTCTTTTGGTTGTTGGTTCTTTTTTTTCTACTTTTACATAGCATGAGGGAAACAGGATGCTGTGGCTGCCGGGTGCTTGTGAAGCACCGCAGGAGGGACTGCAGATCTCGCTGCCATCTCAGCTTTCAGAGTCCTCAGAGCGCCTGGCACCTGAGCTCTGGCTGTATTGTCCCCCAAGGCCCACGTGAGATGTAGATTTTTGGTGTTTGGGATGGTTTTGATGTTTGCTTGTTGAAGGTTGTTTCAGCTTGCCATTTGTAACATCTTTCGGTGGGCTGCAGCCACGGTAGAGGCTGTGACTGAGAAACAGGGAAAGCCTTCTGAAAGTGTGTATCTCAGGGCATTACTTCCAAGATGCCTTAGTAATGTTTTCTGTAGGGAATGCCACAAGGAATGCAGCTTCCCCAAGGCACCGTCCTTCTGAAGGAGTGGGACGCTGACTCATCCCGATGCTTCAGAAAGCCAGCAGCTGCAGGAGAAGGGTCGATCCCCTTTCATCATTCATTTCATTCATCTCGAGCAGCTGATGTGCTCGTATTTGCGTTGTGGGCGTAGGAGGAATATTTTGAACATGTACCAAATGTTTATTCTGATACGGCATGAGGTTATTTATTGGAAGCGACGTCCTTTCAGGAGCTGAGCCGATGAGTGGCCGTTCGTTGGAAACTTCAATTACTCTGAACTAGTTAATATCAATCTCAGCGTTTGCGCCTTTTGTAGTGAACATCCTCATCTCTGTACGTAAAGCTTGTCAGTAGTACGATATTGTGTTGTGATGAGAAAGGCAGATGGTGATGTGCACAGGGCTGGGGGAATGCTTAGCTGCACAGAACCACTCCTCCTTCCTCCGTGATCAGGGCAGCTCTCTTCTAAGGTGCTTTCACTTGTTGGCTTGACAGCAGGTTGACAAGAGAGGTAAAAAGAATTACAGAATTAGAGAATTTCTAGGTTGGAAGAGCCCTAGGTTGGAAAAGGTCAGAAACATATAATGTATTTCTTAAAACACGTGCTGTATGAGCCATTGTCTAAAGGAGGTTAAGCTGATGGGCAGTTCAGCCTCATGTCACATAAATGTCCTGAAATGCATTTTACTAAGTTGTGCTTTTGTCTATAGAATGGTGTTGGATGTAAATACTGGAAAACTTACTAAAATCCAGTTTAGCTGGTGAGCTCGGCTAAATTTCTGATTTTTCTGTTTGTTTTTTTTTTTAATACATGGCTGTGTTATTTTGTTTTTGTTTCCTCCCCCTTGTGTGCCTGTGTGAGCTATTACATCACTTGGGCAGTGCGTTTTGTATGTTAATTTGCTGACATCTCTTGGTTTTGCTCCCTCTCTCTCCAGGTTCCAATGATTCTGGTTGGCAATAAATGTGACCTGGAGGAAGAACGCGTAGTCGGCAAAGAACAGGGTCAAAACTTAGCGAGACAGTGGTGTAACTGTGCCTTTCTAGAATCGTCTGCAAAGTCTAAAATCAATGTTAATGAGGTAAGTATCAGCTGTTCCTTGCCTGTGTTACACTAACATCAATACCGCAGTAGACCAGCATGCAGTCCTTACACTCCTTCTTCAGTTAGATTCAGAGTGGTTCTGAAGTCTCAGTCTAAGAACAGTTTAGACGAATCTGTTTAGTTACTGTTGTTTTATTTTTTTGTTTATTTTAAAGAAATCTGCTATTTTTTTAATTAAGGGGTGGGTGACATCCCCAGGCAAATGCTTTCTGTGGTCTGTGTTAGAGGGCATAGAGCTGGCAGAGGGTCATCAGTAAGCCCAGTTAACTGGATGACTCGTACCTTAGGTAAAACTTTACCTGGAAAACATATGTTATTAAGATAGCAACTGCTGCTATTCAGGACGTGAGTTATGCCCCATTGTATTACGTGTCGTGTTGCTTAGTGTTGGTTGTTGGTTTTGAAAGTATTTGCTTTTCACATTCCTGCTACATCTGGCTGCTCAAGCAGACACCCCATCACAGTCCTCCTCTGGTAAGCCGCTAATTTACTGAGACCATGTCCAAACATCTCTCCGTGTACCCCATTCCCGTGTTTAAACAGGAAACACCTTCGGAAGTCGGTGTGCATGTCGCTGCTACCTGAGGCCGTGTGGCACTGCTTGCCATCCGGCAGCAAGGTTTTGTTCTGTGCTGGGAGTTATCTGACAGTGGCAGGGGCCGGTTTTCCAGTCACAAACACTAAGGTGACCCCATTGAGCAGAGCTGGTTTGGTGCCAGGAGATAACTGGGACCATTTAGGAGACAGTGATAAGGAGAAGCAGGAGGATTTTGGACTAGACCCAGAGCGCTCTTGGCAGCCAGCGTGACATGCCCAGCACCGCATCCATCGGATGGAGAGGGACGGGAGCTCCAGGCTGCTGTGCTTGGGATTAGCCTGGCTGCAGTGCTTGCTAATCCAGCCTGGTAAATATAGCTCGCTGAGCCAGGCTCCTGCCAGACAGGGCTTTGTGTGTGTCTCTGAGCTGTAGTAAAGCTGGAACAGCTAACAAAGAAATGAGTGGCTCAGTCATCAAACAGGTACCGTGGAGTATACCAAGTCCTGCTTTATTTGTATTTCCACAGAGACTGACCTCTCAGTAGCCAGAGGTGCTTTAAAGTTCTCCAAAGAACTGGGCTGGGACAAATACACACCTGCAGTCAGGCTTGATCATATCCAGGAAAATGAGTATCTGGAAGATTAGTTTCTGTTTTTATTGTGATCTTAGTTTTGTGTGTTTCTGCTAGTTCACATTGTCCGGTTATAAAAAGCATAAAAACTAAGGAAATCAAGAAGGAACACGATGAATCAAGCCACTCACTGTGCTTGGTTATTTGTTCTGCTGGCTCATGGAGTGAGGAGGAGTTTACATTACTCTTCGGTTTTGTTTTTGTAAAGCTACATTTGCAGTTCCTAACTTTGTTAAAGTCTAGGCTAAAGGCTGGTAAATTTCTGCTTGCATTTGCTGAAAGTTAAACCTTTCCTACAGATAGGATGTTTTTAATACAGGTATGAGTCGACCTCAGTAGCAGTGCTTCAGGTTTCTTCCTGGTGACCTGTGTGATGTTCGTGCACTGACTTCTAGGGATAGTGGCGTTCCTGAAACCTTGCTGCAGACTTCCCTTCCATAGTCACTGTCAATACGAACACTTAAATGACAGAACTTCAGATTTTTCTTTTTTTTTTTTTCTTTTTTCCCCCTACCTTAGCCCTAGGAAGCAGGGAGGAATGAGGGGTCTACCCAAAGCAGTCAAGAACCTCATCTGCCAGAGAGAGGTGGTTGGGGCCTTCACAGATTCAGGCTCCTTCAGCACATCTTAATCACTTTGGAATTACCTTGGCTCTTGTTTATAAAGGCTTAAATATAGAAAGGTAGTTTGCATCAGCAGCAAAGAAGGAGTATTGGTTTCTCCTGCAGAAACCTTTTTTTTGTATGTCGTCTGCACACTTTTTAAGATCTTGGTTGTGTCTGTTGAAGAGTCCAAACTGCTGCTTTTGCCTGGGGCTGACAGAAAGCTGCAGCAATAAGCTTAGGGGAGGAGCAACTATCAGATGCTGTTAAAATATTTTACATCAGAGCTTGATAAAAGGCACTGTATGTTCATTTTGTTTGGAGCTATATAACTGGGCACGAGTGCTGTCACATATGTAATAACCAGAAAATCTTAGATTTCCAGTAGCTGAAATTTGTTATAACCTATTTCTTTGTCTGCTGAATTTCCTTTGAATCAACAAGAGTTTGTGAGCAATCAGCCACTCTGGGAAGGAAAAAAGTAAACAAGGAGAAGGGTGGAGCTTTCTGGAGCTCTAAATATTTCTGCTCAGTACCATGACCCAGCTCCAAGCATTTTTGCAAAGCTCATTTTGCTATAAATGGTTTATTACTGGGAAAACAACTCACAGCAAAAGCGTTCACAAGAAATTTCTGAAGCTGAAAGAGGCCCCTGTAGTCATCCTCTTCTGGAAAAGTCTGAGTTCATGGCAGACAATTTGTTTTTCCTCACTGATTGTATTAATAAATTCAAAAGATCAGATCAAGGACAAAGGCAAATTAGATCAGAAGTGAGTGAACAGCAGCTCTGACCTGTATGGCAAAGAGGAGAACTAGGAGGGTATGAATGCAGCGGGTGAGCAAAGACCACTTGTGAAAGTGAAAGCCAGGGAGAAGGGCTGCCTGGAAGGACACGGTGCTCTGCAGAGACACCAGGGAGCACTAGGGAGAAAGTGGTCCTTTGGGGTATTATGCTTGTCCTTTTACAAACAAAACCCAAAGGTTGTTTTCCTTTCCCAGTTTTCTTCTGGGTGCCCAGAGCAAGGGATTCTTTGCTGTTCCATTGCCTTACCCTTCTGAAGCCTTTGGTCATGCGTAACCTGAAGGGGGAAACCTGTATGTGGCAGGGCAGGAGCTTACAGCTCCCCTGTATTCTGCATGCTGATGTGAGCTCTGTGCTCCCTTGTTTCTGAAGCAGCTGCTTGAGAAACACATTTAGGTAAATGCAGGCAGATTGATGGAATTTGTAGGACTGCGGCCACCTGGAAAGAGTATCTGCCATTTTGCCAATGTGCCTAATTATTGACACGTACAACGTTTTATTGTTTTGATACTCAGTTTGCGTTCTTGATTTTCAGATCTTTTATGACCTGGTCAGACAGATAAATAGGAAAACACCAGTGGAAAAGAAGAAGCCTAAAAAGAAATCATGTCTGCTGCTTTAGGCTCCCATCGTGCAGCAGCTCTGAGCCAGGTAAGAGGTGTCTGCACCTGCAGCCCAGGTAGTCTGACCCTGGGCTGCTCCAAAATGTGTAATTCCTTCCCTGTCTGCTGCATCTGTGGGACTTTGAAAACCAGTTCCACTGACTGACTTAGCAGAGAAATACCTGCCTTGCTCCCTTTCTCCTTTTGCTTGCGTTGATGAATGCACCAGGTAGAGCAGGAACTGATGGAGATGGGTGAGGTGTTGCCTTCTTGCTCTTACAAGTTCTCCCTCTGTCTTGTGACACCATGGCTGGAGCCATCCTGGGTCAGTTTTGCTTCCTTTTTATTCTCTACTGAAGTTCAGTGGCGTTCGGGTGACTTGCAGTGTAGTCGCAGCTGCTGTCCAGCCCTAGCTGATACAAGGACAATTGCAAGTTGGTTTGGGTGGGACATGGATTTCAACGGCAGAAAAATGAAAAGCTGACCACCAGGGGGGAAAAAAACAACAGAAAACAAGGTTGGACATACGCTATAAATAACCTTCCTGTGTATCTTGGCAGGGCACTCTGTGCTTACAGCTGTTCTGTCGCACTCCTGGAAGCAAGCAGCATTTCTGTAGCTTCAGGTTTTGGACAGAAATACCAGCATCTTAGCACACACGTGTGCTGCGTGGCGGTGCCGACACAGAGGTGTGCAGGGGAAGTGGCCCTGCTCAGCACTGGGAAGCAGGAAATGATCAGAGAGCAGACAAATCACCTCAGCTGGTGTCGGCTGTGCAAAGAGAGTCAGCTGGAAATGCAGAGGGCAGATTTGCAGCCCAAGCAAGCCCTGCAGGCTGGGTTGAGACAGGTTAATTTGCTGTGTTGGCTGTCGATGTTCCATACGTGCCCATGCTGCCAGCCTCCAGTCATTGCTGTGACCCACCAGAAGCTGTTCTCTTAGGTATGGCAGCTGGCAAAGCAGCACAAGTGCCCTTATCCTGCAGCATTTAAAACAAACTTCTGGTTAGGTAGGAAGAATTTCAAGGATGAATTCCTGGAATCGGCGGTTAACTGCCTTTCTGCCAGACCTGAAGGGCACGCTGTGGGCAGATGTTTCTTTAGCCTGGCTGTGATTGAGCAGGACAAGTGCAGCTATGCAGTTAACCTGGCTGCTGATGATTTGTGCTTTATTTATTGATCGAGTCTCTTATCCTGAGCTCTGAATGTCATAAAATAATAGCTCAGTCCTATGGGGAAATGATGGTTTTAGGAAAAGAAATTGAAGAGTGTATCTCAAGTGGCTTTTCCTGTTCCTCGGGCGATATATCTGGATTTAGCTAGTGTGGCGTCAGCCAGGATGGCTTCTTGGAGCCAGGCACCCCCAGCCCTGGGGACGTGCTGTCTGCCAGGCTGGCTGAGCTGAGCTGGGTTGTGCTGGGCTGTGTTGAGCTGAGCTGAGCTGTGCTGCGGCGCCTGCTTGGCCTCGGTGCGGTGCTGAAGGGCTCTGCAGCTGCCGGCAGCTCACCTGGAGCCCTTGTGTTCAGTCAGTTGCTGACGGGGCTCCTGTAGCACTGGCTGCTTCTGCCTGTGCCCCCGGAGCTGCTCCAGATGATTGAAATACGGCTCAACATCTCCCCTGGTGTTTGTAAATCTCTTCCTAACCGGTTGCCTCCTTGTTACGGCTGGAACAGGGCTCAGGGTGGTCTCCAACTTGTTATACTTGGGCAGCATCTCGGAGAGATTAAAGGTGAAATTGCCCTTCCCTAAACTGTTTGGTCGTTGCTGAATTCAATACCCACTTGAGCCAGATGCAGCCTGGAGCAGAGGCTCCCTGCCTCATAAGGCACTGTTGTTAGGACAGTGGGATGGGGAGGCAGCTCTCTGTTGCTACTGCTGTGTTGGTGACAAAACAAGAACTCGTTTCTGAAATGGCTCTGCTTTCCAAAGGCTTTTCTCTCTCTGTAGCTGAGAGTTCGAAGGACAGTAGGAGCAAACCACAACAGCGAGGGAAGATAACCTCTTCCTGCTGAAATCTGTGTGTTTTTACAGACGTGTACGGGCAGTTGTGTGGGGAAACACTCAGGCCTTCGTCTGAGGTTGCTGTTCAGAAGGATGAGAAATGTTCCCACCATCACCTTGTTTTTCACTTTTTCCAGATTGCAGGAATGAAGAACTGTTGCCTAAATGGAAAGTGCCAGCATTCCCGACGTCAAAACCTTATGGAAATTAGCAACATATCTGAAGAAGCTTCTCCTGTTTTTATATACCATGAGAAGAATTTAGATCTTAAAATGGTTTGCACACAGTCCCTGGAAAAACAAATTGCTCTGTGTATATCTCTTGGAAATTTAAGACAATAGTATTTCTCCTTTGCAATAGCAGTTAACAGATGTGAAAATAAATATAATTGACTCTAGTGTATGATTATACAAAGGAGCATGGATGCATTTCAAATGTTAGATATTGCTACTATAATTAAAATTTCATATTGACCCTTTTACCATAATTTCTCCCCATCAAGCACTAAAAATGTTCCACCATTATATATTATATCTATAACTATAGATATATATTACCTAAAATTTCCCTTTGAACTCACAGCAGCAAATAACTTTTTGAGTCGTTGACTTCATTTTATATTTAAAGGTTACAGAATATCATTATTTTCATTCTGCCATTATATTCTAATTAAAAATGTTTGTGCATAATGCTTTGGAAAAATGGGTCTTTTATAGGAAAAAACTGGGATAACTGATTTCTATGGCTTTAAAAGCAAAAATATATAATATACTAAACCAACTCTAATATTGCTTCTTGTGTTTTACTGTCACAGATTAAATTACAGCTTTTATGAATGATTAAATTTTAGTACATTTTCATTTTGTTTCTGTGTTTTTGTTATGGTTTCCAGACTTTGGTTTTTATCAACATTTTGTGAACTCTTTTTCCATTCTGGTAGATCATTGTTGCAACAGATCCCAACAGTATGTTGTTAGGCCAATGCGATGTCTTCACACACCCTCCTTGTTGGATGTACTTAATCATATTACACACTAAAGTACAGAAGGCTACTTTTAATTAGCTTTGTATGTTCTTTTGAATATTTAAAGATTGTATTCTGCTGAAAATATTTCCTCTGTACAATTATTTTTATATGTACAAATTTGGTTTAATACTGTATCAAGGTCTGACTTCACTGTCGTCTTCAGTTTCACACAGCTGTGTACTTCACCAGTAGAATCCTTCCTTTAGCAGCGTCGTCCTGCCGGGCAGGAGCCCACGGGGATGTTACATACGGTCAGCATCTCGAGACGAAACTGGGGAGTTGTGTGTCGGTTCTGACTAAACACAATTTCAACAAAGCAAACAGCTGCTTTGCATTTTTAGGTAAAATCTGGCTAACGTTACCTGATCTGCAGTCAGATGAAGGGTTGTTTGTTTTTCTTTTTTCCATTTTGACTTGTTCGGTTTGTTTTTAAATACCTGTTGGTTTCATCAAGTTTAAAAGAGCAGGGTATGAAGAGACCGCTGGGTGCTCAGCCTCGATCCTCCTGTGCATATGCAAGTAAAAGAACTGCCTTTGGGGCCCGTTGGACCCAAATCACATCTTCAGTTTGATGCTGCTGAAATTCCCTCAGTGTTGGAGGATTTGCTCCCGCTTCACTTCTGAGTAAGTGAGAAGAGAAATGTATCTTCACAGTGGAGAAAACTCGGGACGGACTCTGTCCTGATTGTTTAAATGGGAAATCAAGATGTAATAGCTGGTGAACATTTGTTCCTGGAGTTGTATAGTTTTATTGGAAACCAGGGGTGACAAATTTCTATAAATGTGTTTTTTCTAAAACTGTTACTGATGCAGCTGTTGAATTATACAGAGATCCCAGTTTCTAAATGCAGCCCAAACAAGACTGGATGAGAATATTCGGATGACAATAATGTGAAAACATCTGCATCCTTACAAGTTGCTAGGACAAACTTAGTTACGTAGCTGATTGTCTTCAACCTACCGCTGCGCTTCCTTTTTCAGGAGGAGCAGAAGCATGGTATTTGCAGGTTGGTTATCTTTACTAAATGTAAAAATATTTTAGTAATAAAGTAATTTTAATGTACTTCGTGATTGCTAGATGTCTCTTCTATGAAAAATGGAAACCTTGATGTTCTAGAGACAGCGCGAGAAATTGGTTCACCTTCTGTAAATGCCAGGTGCTTTGGTTGTAAAACCTGGAGCAGCCCAGGCTGCAAGGGCAGGGCTGTGTTCCCCTGGGGGCTGTGCCTCCTCCTCGGGCTGTTCCCCTCGCCCTTTTTGCTCCTTTTTGCTCCTTTTCTCGGTCCCGGGGTCTCGGCTCCGCTCGGTGCCCACCAGGGGGCGGCCTCGGCCCGTGCCCGGCTGCAGCCGCCGGGGAGGGGGGGGCTCCGAGGCCTTGGCCAGGAGAACCCTGAAGAAAGTCAAAAATTAAAATCTGCAAGGGGCCTTGCGCCTTTCTGGTTTTGGCACCACCCGAGGGAGGCAGCGCGTTAACAGGCCCCGAGCCCTGGCCTTATCCAGTGCCTTTGCTTGGAGCTGAGCCTCGCACAAACTCCCCCAGAGACGTTCACTGCTGCCGGCTGTCCCAATGGCCGTGCTGTCATCCCTCCGGCCTGTGTTTGTCTTCCTCATTTCTGTGTTTCCAAAGGTTGCTCTGAAACTCGTTCCCCGCCTCAAGGCGGTAGGACCCGAGGGCAGCTCCCTGGTGCCGTGAGCCCCGTGTGCTGGGGAGCTGAAATGGCCGGGTTTGAGCTGGATCCGAAGGCAGGGCTGAGGAAGGAGCTGGGCAGGCGATGCTGGGTCGTGGAGCCTGCAGGGATCTGTGCTGCTGCCGTGCTCTGCTCCCAGCCCCTGAGCTGCACGGACGTGCCTGCTGCTGGGGAGCACACCCAGCAGCGGTGTGAGACACCTCGTGAGCGTGAGCTTCAGGGCTGGCCTTTGCAAAAGTCACCCAAACTAACGAGTGTTTTATCTGTTTTGCCAGGGCTGGACACCGAAGAAGCAAAATTCATTTCTGCTATGGGCCGGTTGCCCTTCAGCAAAGAGCCAGGAGTTTGTTTTATCTGCCCTGGGACCCCGGAGCAGGGCGAAGGCTTTCAGCTGCCGTGCAGCCGCTCGTCCCGTGCCATGGAGAGACCCCCAAATTACCAAGAGAGCTTTCTGCAGCCCCTGTGCGGGATGAGGGAGAGGAGCTGCTTTGGAGGCCCTCATGCAACATCACAAAGCTGCAGCACAAAATTGCCAGGAGCCCTGGGCTGCTGGGCCTCTTCACAGCCACATTTCTCAGGGGACGCTAAAGGAAGTTTGGTCCTTCTCATCCCGGTGACGTCCCTGCGAGGCTTCACGGGGCGCTGCAGCCGGCGGCTTCCTCCACCTCGCGTGGCCTTGGTGCTCGGGTCAGCATCCTCAAACAGCTGGGGAAGCAGCTGGGCGATCTCACGGGGATTTGTGCACGCTCAGGGGCAAGTCGTGGGAAAACGTGCTCTGGGATGGTCTCGCACACCCACGTGGGCTTCTCCGGGGTCTCCTGGGGCACACGCTGCCTGTTCTCAGTGTTTTCCCATGCTGCTCGTGTTGGGCTGTCACAGCTGCTTCAGGAGGAACTCGGGGCTGGGCCTGCACCCGTGTTGCAGCTGGCGAGCTGAGGGATGTGTGGGGCAGCCCTTGCACCACCGCCTGTGTCACGTTGTCCAGAAGAGCCCAGGACCACTTGGAGAGCACCAACGGACCTGGGAGAAGCTGAAACAAACTGGTCCTGAGGCCTGTTACTGGGACGTTCACTGAGACCCGAGGAGAGAAGATGGCCCAGCAGTAAAAGCAGCGCTCAGCTGGGTTTGGTGCCTTTGGGGTTTCCCAGACTTTGAGTTTATGTTAGCTACTGGTGGAGGCATTCAGCAGGCAGCGGTTTGTGATGGTTTCACACCAGGATCACCTGCAAAACCAGCTCCCCTTCCAGAGCCCGTGGTGCTGAGCGGGACCAGGAGCTGCCTGGGGCAGAGCCTGGAGGAAGCATCAGAAGCTGCCTTAATTAGAGGCCGTTCCAGGGCTAATTAGCCATGCTTCAGAAAGAGTAGAGGAAGAATAAATGATTTGTCAAAGGTGCGTGAGCCCGAGATGTCCGTCCCGCTGCCTTGGCCCTGCCAGCCCCTGGCTTGATGCTGAATTCGCACACTGGCGGCATTTTCTTTGTGTGCTAGGGATGTGTAAGGCCAAAAGCCCCGATGGCGGGGGGGGGAGGAAGGGAATAAGGAGCCCGTTGTGCTGCGGGGGGAGCAGGGCGGCAGCAGGGCCGCAGCCGGCAGCTGCTCGCGGGGCTGCGGCTGGAGGCTGAGCCACAAAGGACAAATTCACGGGGCCGAGCGTGGCTCTGCGGCCCAGCACACTGCGAGCATTATGGGGCCGGGTGGGCAGCCCTGGGCAGCCTCCCACCCGCTCCCCATCAAAGCACTGCCTTGAGCTGAGCCCTGGCGCAGAAAGGGAGGAGGAGGAGGCACTGGGAAGCGTTTCCAATGTTCCTGTGCCAAGGAGCAGGCTTGGGGAGCAGCGCAGCAGGGGATGGGCACCCGGTGCTGCCAGGGCCCAGCACTGCTTGCAGGGTGCCAAAGGAGCCTCCTGGATTCATTTCCGTGGTGCTCTCCCTGCTTTGCAGCCCAGGAACCTGAAAAGCCCTGGGTGTCATTCAGGATGGCCACACAGAGAGCAATAGGTGCCTGGATCCGAGCTCCTCTCAGCAGAGTGAAGCTGACAGTAATTTTACTTCTCTCCCCAAGTGTTTTACGTATAAATCAGGCTTCTTGTATCCCATTTGGAGTGAATGGTGGTGCAGCTGAGTGAAAGCAAGCAGCGCTGTGGCTCTGCTGCCCTTTGCTACCCGGGTTGTTACAAATCATCAGACAAATTAACTTCAGCTGGGCTGTGCCTTCACTCCACCTTCCCCACGGCCAGCGTGTGGATGTAACATTTTCAGGGCCGCAGATACCCAGTACCCTACTGCAGGTTTTCATTTAGCTTTGGAAATAAGCAGTGTCAAGCTGCCGTGTCAGTGTGGCTTAAATTCACAGCAGAAGTCATTTGGTTGGAAGCACTGTACGTTATTAAATATGACTGCACAGGAGCCCCTGTGGGATAATCCTTTATGATAAATGATGTTGGAAACGAGGGAGACCTGATATTGGCCATCTCGCATACCAGTCACAGTTAATCTGCAGGAACGGTAAAAGACACGGCATAATCACGGATATGTGGAGCAAAGGGCAAAGGCTGGGCTTTGACAAAGCGACAGCTAAATCTGAGATGCAGTCAGCCCTGAGTGCACTGCAAACAGACGGAGCGGGAGCATCCTCCTTCAGCACGGGGAAGGCAGCACGTGCATGCCCACAGGTTTCTCTCCAGTAACGTGCACCTTGCTCAGCTGACCCTCTGTATTGTCTAGTGCCAAAGAACCAGAAATCTGCAGAAATAAAGAGATTAAAAGGCGAACAGAAGCCTCTTGCTTTCTGAAGTCCCATTAGAAACGTCCATGAATGTCAATGGGAACAACAGACAGCATCCCTCTTCTGCAGGACTCTAACGCGGGGAGATATTTATTTGTCCTGTCAGGGTATCAGACGCTGTAATTGAGCAAACGATAATACATGTTTGACTGGCCTCGGAGTGAAGTTTTCTGCTCTAAATGCATCGATTTGGGGCTGACATAAAAAGCCATTAAGGCCCTGATGCACGGCGAGGACAAGCGAGCCTGGCAGCTCCCGGCCATGAGTTTGCAGCCCTGGAAAGGACGGGCACGGTGTGGACTGTCCCTCTGCAGCTCTCGGCTGTTGTGGGACCAGGCACAGGGCGCCGCCCTTTGTTCTG